ATTGAGTAAGGGATCGTGCACTGCGACCTAAAAGATTCGTGCACTGCGACCTAAAGACTTAAATTCAATAAAAACAAAATTTGATAGTCTAGTAGAACTGATTGACTCTTACCTAAAATATAGGGTGGAAAACAATAATAACATCAATAATAGCATAATAGAGAAATTCGATTTAATATCTGCTTCAAAAGTCGTACCCGAATTCAATGGGAACGTAAAAAGTCTATCTAATTTTATAGGTATTTTACAATTCTATTCGGATTCATTGAAGGATAACAATGAAAGAAGTATTTTGCTGAAGCTTATTAAAACAGCTTAATTGTCAGATAGAGTAAAAAATAAACTAATTTCTACGGGAGAAGACGACACAATCAACAAATTTATTCAAAAACTGAACTACATTTATAAACCAAACACAAGTCCTTTGACAATACAGAACAAACTGATAAACATGCGTCAGAGCACTCAAACAGTATTTCAATACGCCTCAAAAATAAAGGAATACGTAGCACAACTTAATCAAATCCATCTAGCAACCCAGGGAGAAGAATGCAGAGAAGTATTATTGAAGATGACAGGCTTAACTGGTCTAAATTCATTCAAGAGTGGTCTAAATGAGAGACTAAGCAACGTCATAGCTGCTGCCAGACCATCCACATTAACTGAAGCAATACAAATTGCGACGGAACAGAAGCCAAACGCATGGCATCACATACAAAAAATCTTATAACAGCATAAATAATAGATACCAACACAGCAATGGGAATAACAACAATACACAAAGAGCAAGAGGATCTCCACATAACAATCAAAATAGATGGAACACATCGCGAAATCAAAATTTTCAAAAAACGGAAATACCTCCGGCCACATAAATTCTCAATTCATAACATTGTAGTTAAACAACGTTGTTATGTTTTTGCGAGAGAAATATTCGCATGCGTCTTCGCAGTTAGAGGTAAAATTGTAAAAAAAGAAATGTACTAATGTACATAATTGTAATATTAAAATAAGGAAGAAATGTACTAATGTACATAATTGTTATATTAAAATAAACCGAAATAATAATAAACAAACTTAGTTCTTGATGACAAAGTGGGATAATAAAATCTAAAATAAAAAAACAAAATGCCGAACTTTCGCGACATAAACACTGACACGCTTAGAGGAAAGTGTCGAAAACTAGCCTTGTTGACCGTCGGTAGTAAGACAGAGCTAATAAAAAGGATCGTAACCGCGGAACTCGGTACTGAAAATCAAACGGCGACATTGGATAGTTCGAATGGTGTATTTTATGGGTGCGACAGCTGCATGACTTAGGATTGCTCATCATCAGCAATTCCGGAAGGATCTGTGCATGTTCCGACTAACATGTGCAGCCGACAACCTTCGGGTGGTGCCGTAACGAGCACTGCTCTGCCGATTACTTATAATGCATACACCCATACACCAATTGTAATGACTCCACCGTTTGTGTATTTCATACCGCATGCAGCATACCAAATAGTTCCATACCAATTTGTTCGTCAATTTCACAAAATACACCGATGTCAATCGCAAATTTAGGAACGCCGACATGTTCATTTGCGCTGCAGCTTGTAACAACAAATTCGATGTCTACGCATCAACGAAATATAGATAAAAATTATTCAAAAACGCACATTTCTTCAGCAACTCTAACGCCCAAATTGGCATATCCAAACGCCTTATTTCCACTGCAACAATATGGTATTTGTATCAACATAAGGTTCGCGATATAATTGAAATTCTATCAGAGTTTAACCCACTTAATAAAGAAGGCTAAACAGTGCAGCAATCGTTTGTTGTTGTACAGTGTACAGTCGAAATTAAAAGGACCAGCAAAGATGTGGAAGGATAGTTTACCAAGTGTTTTTTCTAATTAGATGTAGTTTTGTAATCAAATAGTGTTTGATTTTCCATCTACGGACACCGATGCTGACGTACACATGAAATTAATGAATTGTTCCAGAATGACGAATGAAAGTCACGAAGAGTTTTACTATCGAGTGTTGGCAATAGGTCGTAGAGGTCTTATGCAAGATAATTCAATTAATCAATATATTCTCAAAGGACTAAACGACTATAGAATGCAGCAGTCGCTGGCTAGCAATTTGTATGTGACATCAAATGATTTTTTAGTTGCAATACGAAGGCACTTAGCAAATGCGCCACTGCGAATTCAACAGAGAGTGGATAAAAATGTTACTAGGTAACCGATTTTTAAACCTCCAACGTCAAATACAAAAGGCGAAAATGCACGGATAAGATGTTATAACTGCAACAAGGAAGGGCACGTTTCTATAAATTGCAAACAACCACAAAAACGCTCACGATGTAAAAACTGCCAGAGAGTAGGTCACACCGCAGCAAATTGTAGATTTGTAAAAGAGCCGGTAAAGAAAACTAACAAGAATAAAATTTCTCTGATATCCGGAATCATTAAAGAAGTATAAATCAATGGTGTGTTTTTAACAGCATTTATAGATCCAGACAGTTCGGTGTCTTTAATTAGAAAAAGTTATGCTACAATGTTTCGTGGTGAAATACCGTATACAGGACGTGCGTTGCAAGGGATGTTTGGCGGCGGTTTTGAATGTACAACACAGTTAAATGTAACTTTACGGATAGACGCAATAGAATGTTCGGTATCTCTATTGATTATCGAGGACGAATTCATGAACAAGCCAATTTTGGTGGGTAACGACGTGCTGTGCCAACCAGGGGTACGATTTGTTATAGAAGATGTTTCCTGTAAATTATAAGCGTTTTTATAATTTGGTTTTGTGATCTTTATTTGATTTTATTTAATTTATACAATTGAATTTATACAATTTCGGTTATTGATTGTTTAATCACTTTTTTGTGTGTACCCGTGTGTTGACACGTTCGCGATCGAAAAACAAGAGACAGAATCAAACCAACGGAGTTTACTTGCAGCCAAAAAATATAACAAAAAATTGCTCATCTCGGGCGCAAAAAACAAAAGGCAATAAAAACAAGACTTGGAACCATTGGTTTGATTACATCTTATACAGGGTTAGTTAGATAAATTAATTAACCATATATTAACCATATAAAATATTATGTATGAATTATATAATATATTAATTATAATAATTTAATTATACAACATATGATTTACAATAGATTAAAATATAATAAAATATAATATGTAAATCATATAACACATCAATTATAATAATTCTACAGAATCCTACAATATTAACAATTTGACTTTAACCGCTCTAACAGTTCCAGTAGAATAGAGAAAATTGAATTAACCAATTTGAGCGTTAATTCCAATATAAATGAAAATTCCAAAGATGAGTTAAATAAGTTGTTGGTAAGCTACGCTGACTGTTTTGCTTCCAAAATGTCAGAGCTAGGTAAATATACCAAAAAGTAATTAACGATTCGCCTAAAGTCAGACGTGCCAGTTAGTAGACGACCATATCGACTCCCTTTTGTAAAACGTGAATGTGTAAAAGAAATTATAAACGAATTTCTTTCAAACAACATTATTCGTCGAAGTGAGTCATCCTTTGCGTCACCAATAGTCCTGATGAAAAAAAAGAATGGGGAAGATCGCTTATGTGTGGACTACCGGGAGCTGAATAAAATCACAGTTACAGAACCTTTTCCTATGCCGATCATGGAAGAGCTGTTCTCTTCGTTAGCTGATAACCAATATTTTACCATGCTTGATCTGATGTCTGGTTATCATCAAATCGCCGTAGAAGAAGGCAGTAAGCAGTACACTGTGTTCATGACTTACGATGGCCACTTCGAGTATAACTACATTCCATTTGGTTTGGTAAACGCGCCAGCTGTTTTTCAGTCAGTAATGAATTCAGTGGTTAGCAAAATGCCAGCAGGTCAAATTATTACATATTAAGATGATGTTGTTATACCAAGCAAAACAATATCAGAAGGTTTGCAGCGGTTACAAAAATTCTTGAATATTCTACATGACGAGGGGCTGAAGCTGAAATTAACGAAATGTAGTTTTCTGTCAAAAGAAATTAATTTCCTTGGCCACCTTGGCCTTTGAACGACCGAAAAACGTTACGGAGGTGCGCCAATTTCTTAGTCTCACAGGTTTTTTTCGTAAGTTTGTGAAAAACTATTCGCTTATTTCAAAACCGCTCACAATGTTGATGAAAAAGGATAATGTTGAATTTATATGGGACAAACCATAAGAAGAAGTATTTTGTAAACTAAAAGAAGAGTTATGCTCCGAACCAACTCTTGCGATCTATGAACAGCGGAAAGAGCATGAAGTACACACTGATGCCAGCGCTATTGGTGTAGCTGGTATATTATTTCAACGATCTGACGACAACATTTTACAGCCTGTATGTTACTACAGTCGCCATTGTAACAGTTCGGAGGAAAAATACCATAGTTACTAACTAGAGGTGTTAGCTATCGTTAAGGCACTGGAGCGTTTTCGATTTTATTTAGTGGGAAAACATTTTAAAATGGTAACCGACTGCTCAGCTATAACAATGCTAAAAACATCCACTCCGTTAATTGCACGAGTTTCCAGATCGTGGTTGAAACTACAAGATTTTGATTTCGAGACTGTTCATCGCGCTGGGATACGTATGTTCCACGTGGATGCACTAAGTAGGAATCCGTCTGAAACTGCCCAAGAACCTGAAACTGTTGCCGACAGAATTTTACGTATAGAAATTTCAACAGACGATTGGTTAACCGCTATGCAGATTCAAGATCCGAAATTGAAAACGATTATTGCTATACTTGAACGTAAATTCGAATCCAGTCAGAGGAAGCAAATCGAAAATGATTACATAGTCAAAAATTCCCGATTATATCGAAAACTAAACCATCAAGAACTATAGGTCGTAACGAAGGGAGTACGTTGGAAAATAATAAACTCTTACCACGATAAAGCAGGTTATTTTTCAGTCGACAAAACTATTAACCGTATTATGAAGACTTATTGGTTTCCTAGAATGCGAACGTTTGTTAAAGGCTATATTGCTAATTGTGTCGAATGCTATTTTAATCGAAAACCAGGTGGACGAAGCGAATGTGAATTACACATTGACGAATTGGAGCCGTTAAAGCCGTTTCGTATTTTGCATCCCGATCATCTTGGTCCATTTATAAGAAGCAAAAAAGAAAATACGCATATTTTAGTGTTAGTGGACAGATTCACCAAATACGTGATTATTAAAGCTGTGCGTAACACCAAAACACAGCCAATAATCAACGCATTAAATGAACTTAGCAGTATCTTCGGCTTGCCAGTGAAAATTATCACCGATAGAGGAACGTCATTTAACTCTAAAGTTTTTTTTGACTACTGTAAGCTGAATGAAATTAAACACGTTAAGACAGCCGTTCGTACTCCGAGGGTTAATGGACAGGTGAAAAGGTTAAATCAATCCATTCTATCTTTCTTAAAGACAGCCAAATTCGATGACAAAAATTTGGACGAAGAACTCCGATCACTACAGTGGATGCTTAACACTTAAATTAACTCAACTACTAATTTTTCTCCAAACGATCTCATATTCGATTTTAAATTGCGAGATATAACAGCCAATCACTTACACGAGGCTTTACAAGATGATACTCCAGTAGATATGATTGCCCGCCGACATGAAGCAGTCCAACGCATAGAAGCTGCACATTCCAAATGGAAGCAACGTTTTGACAGTAGCCATAAAAAGCCAAAACGGTATGAAGAAGGTGATCTGGGCCCTGTTGCACCAACACTTTTCATTTTTCACTTTGCAAAACTTATGAGTTACTTTTTTTTGCAAAGTAAAAGTGAAAAGCGTTGCACCAAAGACTTAACATAATTTACTTTGGACTTTGCAAATAAAAATTTCACTGCAAAGTCTTTGCATAAAATGCAAAGTAAAGCGTTGCACCAAAAAATTAGATCACTTTCATTTTGTATTGGTTTTTGAAAGCATTTCGATTCTGTATGTATACTTGTTTTTTGTTTGTTTGATATTTTGATGCTATGAGTACATGATTTATGCATAGTATGTACTTATGAGTTTAATTTTTGTTTAAAATAAAAGTTTTTAAAATAATATTTTATTTTAATAATTTATTTTATTACAATTAGTAATATTTGTATAATTTTAGTAGAATTATATGTTATACATTAATACAAAACACAAAATTTTTGTATATGATTTCTTTTATTGACATTGAATCGTAGATAAAGAAGTTGTATATATCCATAGAGACAATTTTTATGCTTTTAATTTATTTTGCTATAAAAAAAGAATTTATATGTAAAGAGTATGGATATGAGGTGTTTTAACAACAATTATATTGAAAAACAAAGTTAACAAATATAATAAGATGCTTTTATATAAAAATTTAGTTGAAAATCTGTCATTATTATTTAATTTTAAAATATTATAAGTTATTAAAGTATTGTTTACTTGTCGCTGTGTATTATCCTAATACAAAAGAAACCTCCGCATAAAGGGCCTAAATTACTGATTTTATTTAAAACATTTCTCTCAATTTATACAAAATTACCTTAAAACTGACTTAACTAATTTTACTATCAACGTTAAAATAATATGTTGTCTGTTATCAGTAATTTTAATTTTATTTTTAATTACATTTCAAACAAGGTTAAAAAAACGACGCAAGTCCAGACACTTGTGATTTTTTCTTCTATTGTCTTTAGAAATATATTGTTATTATCATAACTAGATACGGATAATTAGATATTTAAAAATGTTACCATGTTAGCTATTATAGGATATTTTTTACCCATGTTTTTTCTTAGCTCATAATTCCGAGAATTTGAACGATAACATACTTATAATAATAATAAACTGTTCATTATAATAAATAAGTGTTCATGCTTAAACAATAATTCACATAAAATATTTATATTAAATGCATTATAAATTTTTTTTAGAAACTGAACTCTTTAATTCTCAATTTAAAAGTATTGTCCGGTAATATATCCCTTTAATTATTGCAACTAAATTTATTTCAAAAACAGCAATAATATTTCCTTCAACTAATTTTCTATTTCTATTTTTTTAAAACTATTTTTATATATTTATTAATAATTTCTTTCATTTTACGCATTGAAAGAAATCACTTTGCAAAATTTGCAAAGTGAATTAATCATTTGCAGTTTTTTTTGTAAAGTTTTGCAGTTTACTTTTGCAAAGCGCAAAGTAAAAAGTGTTGGTGCAACAGAAAGTGCAAAGAAACCAGTTTTTTGTCAAATATTTCACTTTTCTTTTCATACTTTACTTTTCATTGAAAAGTACATTGGTGCAACGCTTTGCATTTTTTGAGTGTTTTCAAAACTTTGCTTAACTCAATTCTCAAATTAATGCTTTATGTTCTCAATGAGAGAAAAATGCTCAAAAATCATAAAAATTTGCAAAGTGCAAAGTGAAAAGTGTTGGTGTAACAGGGCCCTGGTAGTAGTTGAAAACGTTCCATCAGCTACTGGCGAGTCGAAAAAGTCAGAACCAAAATACCGTGGACCGTATGTGGTAGCGAAAGTTATTAGGAATGACCGCTATTTGGTTGAGGACATGGACGACCGTAAAATCAAAACTCGAAAGTATTCATCAATATATACCAGCGATAAGCTGAAACCGTGGTGTACTCTATATTCTGACATTGACAATTTTGAAGATGGCTCAGAGTTGGAAGAAGAAACGCAACTCGAGGCGACTTGCAGTCAGGAAGGGCCGAGCTGTATCCTATTCATTAATTCTCTATTCCTAACAATGTAGTTTAACAACGTTGTTATGTTTTTGCGAGAGAAATATTCGCAAGCGTCTTCGCAGTTAGAGATAATAATGTAAAGAAAGAAATGTACTAATGTACATAATTGTAATATTAAAATAAAGAAGAAATGTACTAATGTACATAATTGTAATATTAAAATAAACCGAAATAATAATAAACAAACTTAATTCTTGATGACACAAGAGAAACTCGTGTAGCAATAAAAAATGCTAAAAGAGATATTAAACCATTAAAAGATTACAATATTTTATATTACCACAATAAAAACCGAAACTATTCAAGATTTGAACAAATTCAGAAATTATTAAAAATAGAAGGTTTAAATGAAAGTGCTAAAAAATTAATTTTAGACATTTGTGAAGATTTTCAAGAAATTTTTCATCAAGAAGGTGAAAACTAACCATTAACAATTTTTAACGGTTAGGTTTTTAACAACGTATTTCGACCTTTGACAGAACACTTATATACACATAGTAGAAAAAGTCTACGGATATTCACAAAATTTTTTTAAATTACGCATAACTTTTTTAATTTTTAGTCAAATTCATTTTTATTTCCCGATTTATTTTAACCAACAATAAAGTTCCAATATAAAAAATTAACAGTTATTCTTACAAAAAAATTAAACACAATTATATGCAAAAGTAGCAATTTTTGAAGCAGAAAAAGTCTACGAACATTTCTTAATATTTACATTAAAACAATAAAATTCAAAAAATCTTAAATTTAATAGCCTGTGGGATAACCTCTGCATTTAATAACCTCTGTTAAGCGTCTTTGCATGGACTCAACCAGCTTTGCAGTATGCTGTGCGTTTATTTCTAGCCATTCTTCCTTTTTTTTTTTTTTTTTATTTATATTTAAACAAAATGAAGAGTTTAAATTTACAACAACTAGTCATATTGACTAACAAGAGGTTTTTTTTATTGCAAGTAAATTTATCTAAGTCTATCTAGGGTGAGCATATAGATACGAACTAGTCATCTCCTTGCTGGTTGAAACGCCTCAAAAGGTCATTAGGTTTGAAGCGGCATAAGCGTCTGTGAGTGACATCACAAAGTAGCGCTGGAATGGTGCTGTTTAAGTGTTGTCTCAGCCTGTCATAATGTTTTTTAGCAGCCTTCTGAATTTCTTGTTTGACAGTAGGTATTTTTAGGTCACGATGTAAATCAGAATTTCGCACGTACCACGGAGCGTTAACTGCATCTCTGATTGCTTTGTTTTGAAATCTTTGCATCATATCTATTATATGTTTCTTCGCACAACCCCAGATTTGGACGCCATAGAGCCAGACCGGCTTGAAGACTTGTTTATAGATCATAAGCTTGTTTTGCTGAGATAATTTAGATCTCCTTCCAATAAGCCAAGTTAACTTTTTGTATCTTATTTTTAGTTCATTTAATTTTTTCTTGACGTGTACCTTCCATCTCAGTTTGGCATCTAGAGTCATACCTAGATATTTCGCAGAATTTGCAACTGGAATTTTAACGCTATTTAGAAATAATGCAATTTGATTTTCTCTTTTGTTAGTAAAGTCTACATGATTAGATTTTGAACTGTTTACTATCAGCTTCCATTTATTTGTCCATTGTTCAATTTCTTGAAGAGCGATTTGAAGCTTAGTGGTAGACACCTTGTTGTTTGGACCTGTAGCCATTAATACCGTGTCGTCTGCAAAAGTTCCAACAATACATCTTGGATTCACTGGCAAATCATATGTGTACAGCAGGTACAGCAATGGGCCTAGTATACTCCCCTGAGGGACCCCGCGATTTATAGGATATAATTTCGAATACGCGTCAAGTAGTTTAACTCGATAGTACCTTTCGCCAATATACGATTCCAGTAGTTTACAATATTGCTGTGGCAGGATAGTGTTTAACTTATATATCAGGCCAGAGTGCCAAACCCCATCAAAAGCCTTTGATATATCCAGAAACACAGCTGAACAAGTTTCTTTGTTTTCAAATGCCTTTTCTATTTCGTGCGTAACTCTGTGTACTTGTTCGATTGTTGAGTGTTTTTTCCGAAATCCAAACTGATGATTTGGGATAAGATTTCTTTGACAAACTACTTTTTCAAGTCTTTTACAGATAAGCTTTTCGAACAGTTTTCCTATGGTTGGCAGGAGAGAGATTGGTCTATATGAAGTTGGAGAATGTTGGTCCTTATCTGGTTTTAGAACCATCACAACTTCAGCAACTTTCCAATAGCTAGGGACATGATTTAATTTTATACTCGCATTAAATATCTGTGCAAGTTTGGCTACTCCTTTTGGAGGTAGCTTTTTCAACACTTCACTAGTTATGAGGTCATATCCTGGTGATTTCTTTAATATCAATTTTTTGATTTCCCCAGTTACTTCTTTATTTTTTATCCGCAAAATAGCTTCATCATCTATGTTGTTATTTGGCTCTATATGATGGGTTTCTTCTTGATTGAAGGTATTACTTAAATATTCAGCCAAAACGTGTGCCTTTTCAATATTGCTTTTCGCCCATTCATTATTATCTTTTTTTAATGGAGGATTATGAGTGATCGGTCTTTTATATTTTTTCATAGCTTTCCAGAGAGAATAGTTAGTTTTGCTATCATATGTCAAGTTTGTAAGATATTTCTTAACATTTTCATTTTTAAAATTACTGATTTCTCTTCTTAATTTTTGAGTAGCATTATTAAGGTTTCTTTTATCTTGTATTAATCGTGATTGTTGCCATTTTTT